CCCCCGCCCCCGCCCCTTTTAAGTGATCTTTAGATCCGAGAGACACTTCGGCTGGTTTTTTTACTTCGTTTTTGACGCAAACCGAAAATTAACTCTTTGCAGCTTTCAGTGCCCTTTGCACTCGGAAGGACCCCTACATTTCAGAAGCCTAGGAGCTGATACTTTTCAGAGCTGTGCTTCTCTTCCATTCCCTTACGACAGCATTACTAGACAGCAATAGTCGAAGTTTAACAAACTTGTCAAACATTAACACCCCACTGCACCAGCGAACTACTGTAATGGGCGTTGTTCACCACATTCTCATTTAGAAATATCTCCTACGAAATTGGGAAAAAGCCGATTTCCGTTGTCCACTATCAAAATCCAAGAACAGTCGTTAATTCCTTCAAAATAGCAGGCGCACCACCACTAAGGAGCCTCCTTCTTCGCATGCACCCACTCCGTAAAATTCCTCATTCACATGGCATTCAATGATTTAGATTCAGTTAAACACTATGTATTTGACATCATGCCTCGACGAAGGTTAAATGAGGCGGTAAGGGGAGTAAGCAGACAAAGAAGCCGGCAGCTCGATGCTGAACGGAAGCGCCGACGCCGACTGTCTAATAGGGCCTGCAGCAGGAGCAGAACGGCCACAGCCAACCCGAGCATGGTCAAGTGCTGGAGAGGACCGTTCCCGAAACAACAGTAGGACTCGACAATCAACAAGCAAGCACAAGCGGCTGTGCTTATCAGAGTTCCTCAGGTACATTACTACATTTCTTACATGCGGTACTGTAGTTCTCGAAACTGAAATTGTAACTATTGCAGGTGTCCAATCATTGAGCACGTCGGAGCAAGCCGACATTTCGTGAGATCGAAAGAGCAAGGGATGCGGCTGCAAAACGTGCCGCAAGAGCCGACCCAGCTTACAGAGAAGCAGAAGCACGGGAAACAGCGGAACGCATGCGCTTGCAACGCGGGGCTCAAAACTAAGGCAAAGATGAAGAATCGTCAATGCGGCAGCGATGAAAATGCGTAGAAGTAACGAGTTGGAATACAGGGAAAGGGAGAGGGAAATTAATGCGGAAGCTATGCACCTACGGCGTGAGACTAACCCAGATTATCGAGAAAGAGAGAAAGGGAAGCAAACAGTGATGCGATGCAGCTACGTCGCGTAACGAACCCAGATTATCGAGAAAGAGAAAGGAAGGCGAACAGTGAAGCGATGCAGCTACTCCGCGAAACGAATTCGGATTATCGAGAGAGAGAGAGAGAGACAGAAAGAGAAGCGAACAGTAAAGCGATGCAGTTACGATGTGAAACGAATCTGGATTATCGAGAGGTGGAAAGGGAACTGAACAGTGAAGCGATGCAGTTGCGCAGAGAAAGTGACTCCGTCTACAGAGAAAGAGAAAGAGAGCAGAACGCAGAAGCAATGCAGTTGAGACGAGAAACAAACGCTGCCTACCGAGAGGGAGAGAGACAGAGCAACAGTGCTGCAGTACGGTTTCGTCGAGATGCCAGCCCACTTTATCGGGATCGAGAAAGAGAAGCGAACTGATCTGGAATATAGAACGCAGGAAAGATCAGCGAATGCAGAAGCAATGAGAAATCGCCGACTCACGGATACAGCATTCAGAGAAAGGGAAAGAGAAACAAACAGTGCGGCAATGCGAAACCGTAGGTCCACCAAAGAGATAGCAAGGGAACGTGAAGAAAACGCCCTGAGGTTGCAACGACGAAGAGAGGTAACAGAACTGCGTGTTCAAGAACGGACGAGAAGGCAGGAATCCCGCCAGCAGCATGCGGTTTATAGTACCGCTGTACGTCATCATGAGAATGCAGTTAAAGAAGGCCCAACCCAGGTATGTAATTGTTGTGCTCGAATGATATTTAAACGATCCATAACTAAACTAACCGAAATAAATTTGCTAGGAGCAGGTAGCGGGAACCCATTTAGGACCACCCTCATTAACACTGTATTTTATTTGCAGCAAAATGATGAAGGGCTTTTCTGCACAACTTGCGCAGAAAGCATCAAACAGTGGTAACAGCACCGTTACTGTCTTTCCAACGGACTGGATTTCGCTCCCTTGTCTCAGATGGTTAGTGATTTAACAAGGTTAAAAGAGAGGCTAGTAGCGGCCCGCCATATCTTTCAGACAATCTGGCCTTCATTTGGCCCTACTGGACATTTCTGATGTAAAGGTGGAATTGTTAGTGTTCCCGTTCCCGTAGATACCACTGTCTCGATGCTTCCTCGTCGTACAACCGACACACACATTGCGCACGTTCATATTGCACGACGAATGGAGTATAGAGGAAACTACATTTCTGGTAATGTAAGACCGCGTTTAGTGTGGCAAATTGCTAGGTACCTATGCACTCAGCCACTATATCAGTCTCACAACATAGCTATATCAGACACTTGACTGCGGAAGCATAACCGCATAGAAGTTGCCGATACAAATGCAGAACCGGAAGAACCGGAAGGAGGTGTGGACGCAGATGAGGCAGAGCCAGATAATCCAGGTGTACAGGAAACAATGGTAATGACAGACGAAATACCGTGCGGGGTGAGGATGACACCAGCAGAAGGATATAGACCCCTATCAATTCTCATAGACGAAGATACGGAATATTTGTCTTTCCCGGAAATTTTCGGCGGAACAAAATTAGAGCCGACTTTTTAAGGCCGGCCCATGTCGTATTCGGAAATCTGCAAATCTTTCATCATGTGTTGCGACCGACGTGTAGCACGTCGCCCGGACTACTTGCTTTTCATGGCAAAGAAAATTGAGTTGCTGAAACTTTCCAGCAACATGTCATTATGTTTTCGAAAAAAGTGTTCAAAATCGGATGGACATCAATGCAGCAAATCTGACCAATCATGATTTCATTTACGGACTTGTGCAACACGATGCCGTCTACCAAGCTCTTGCTGGCGTACGAAACTCGTGCACGCACTGGCATAACGAGAAGCACAAAGTTCTTGCCATGGTCAGACAATTCGGATTACCAACCTTCTTTCTCACAATTTCAGCAGCTGAAACTCACTGGCCTGAACTTCTGAAAATTCTAAAACAAGTTGTAGACAATGAATCCAGCAGCTCCGATGACGCAATGACCCTGCTCTATGTAGAAAAATCGCGATTAATCCAGTCCGATCCAATTACTTGCGCTCGGTATTTCGACTACCGCTACAAGGAGCAAACAAAACTTTGGAGTCTGGTCGGTGGGCCATTCGGGGGGCGAGGCGGGGGAGGGGAGAAAAGCATAATACACTCGTACTGTAGAGTGGAATTTCAACAACGTGGATCTCCTCATATACATCAGCTACTCTGGATTCAGGACGCACCTTTTTACGACGCGCTCACTAGATCAAACGAGCGAGAGGCATGCAACTACATAGATAGCACTGTTACATGCAGCTCCATCATGAACGATGTGACGCAGCACGAACCACAGGCTAATCCACGCTACCTTCAATTCCAACACCATACGCACGGTCGCACGTGCCGGAAAAATGAATCAGCAAAATGCAGATTCGGAATTCCATTTTATCCCATGCGCGAGACCCGCATTTTGCAGCCCTATCGGAGGCGGTCGGCGCATGGGAGCGCCAGCGTCTTGTCAGACAGCTACAACACACAAAAAATCTGCCGAACCAAAACGAAAATCTGGGCAATCTCAGTTTCGACGAGTTCCTTGCGCTGCGCCAAGTGTCTGAGGAAGAATACCTCTTAGCAGCGAGATCCGAGCTACGAAAATGCAAGGTGAGTATGTGAACTCCCATACACGTATTCGTCAATCCCTATTCGCCCAAAATTCTATCAACAATGTGGTCCAAAATGGATCCACAGTATGTGCTCGATCCGTACGCATGTGCCTCATACATTATCGATTACATCAACAAAACGGACAGAGGAGTATGCAGCACGATTGAAGACATTGCGAAGGAGCTACGGAAAGGCAATAGCAGTTTACGACAAACTGTGCAAAGTATCGGCACAGCCCACTACAATACTACACAGATTTCAGCTCAGGAAGTGGCCTACAACATTCTTCAAACTCCATTGTCGCAATGCACCGAGAAGATAATATTCATGCAGACATCACTGCCAGAAGAACGAGTACAGGTTGTAAAGCCACAGCAAGAGCTCCGCGCTCTTGACCCCACTTCTGATGATTGCTTCGTGTACAGCATAGTCGGGCACTACACCAAAAGACCGGCCGAACTGGAACGAATTTCCCTGGCTGATTTCGCTACATACTACAACTACTACAAAACCAGACCGCGAACAGCCCGGCACAGTGCTGCACCGGTTGATGAAGATATAGACAGCACCGACTCCCCGTGCAACAAAACTACATTGAACTGATGGATAGTGCAGGATACATCAGAAAGCCCTTGAAACCGAAGGACATCCGCTGTCGAATGTATAATGTCCAGACTGAACCCTACCATTGGGAGCTGGTGATGCTCTGTTACCCTTGGCGAAACGAAGAAGCGGAAATTATATATGCCGACTGCGAAGCGTTGTTCCACATGCATCGTGAAGAAATCATGCAAAACAGGGGGAAGTACCACTACTTTCCAAACAACGTGCTGGAGGATGCCATGGGACAAGCGCAGAATGATGCGCAAGCTCGAGAAGCAGACATCAAGACGGATCCCACAGCACCTACATTTGATTTCGACAACGACTACGTAAATGGGCAGGAAGTGGTTCATATTGAAGACGGGCAGTATGAAAGAATTCAGTTCGCGGAGCACTTTCAATTGCCAAATCAATCGGCGCAGGAGGAATTTGAAGATATGCTGAAGTCGCTGAATTCTGAACAGAGAGACTACATAATGCATATTGCTGTACACTTCAAACGCAGCAATGAGTCCGTATATCATTTCATAACAGGTGGAGCAGGAGTTGGGAAAAGTATTTTTATTCGGGCAATATATCAAGTCCTACTTCGTATTTTCTTACAACGTTTGGAACTGAATCCGGACTTCCCATCTGTTGTACTACCCGCTCCAACAGAAAAAGCAGCATTCAGTATCCGCGGTCTTACACTACACGCCCTATTCCAGCTTCCAATCAACTCCAACACTCTTACTGCGTTCACTCCTGATGTGTCCGATGCAATGGCTACGAGACTTCAGTGCCTGCAAGTATTCATTATAGACGAGATATCTATGGTAGGTGAGCCCATGCTGCGAATGGTGGCTATGCGCTTACGCCAATTGTTTGGAGATGCTGAATTTCGAGCAAAAGTTTTATTGCTGTTGGGGACTTTCACCTGCTACGACTGACCAGTCATGGCGGCAACAGTATACGGGAACACATCCCGCAATCCATATGTAGAAGCGTTTGCAAGACCGGTGTGGCACTTTTTCCAAGTACACAGACTTCACACAGTGATGCGCCAGAACGAGGCTGAAGCGCTAACAAATTTGGCAAGCGCTAACAAGTTTGGCACACGGACAACTAACACCGTCGGGTTTGGCACTCTTTCTTTCCCGCATTTTCTTCGAAGTTTCCCAGGAAGCCACTGATCGGAGGCCAGTGTTTTTGTTTCCAAGAAATGCACAAGTGGACGAATGGAACGAAAAAGTGCTAACAAACATGTCTGGAAATGAAACGGTCTGCGATGCTTGCGACCGCAGCAGGTGACGGATCAGACGCTGCCAAACGTAACATACTAATGAGTGTACACAATGACCGTATTACAACGCACCAAACAATGGGATTGCCACGATCATTGTATTTGAAGGTTGGGGGTTGCTACATGATCACTCTACAATTTGGATACAAGTGACGGTCTCACAAACGGCGCAACGGGACGACTAGTCCAGATCGATATGGGCAACCAGCGGAGAAAGCCGTCGCGAGTATGGATCGCCTTCGACGAGCCGGAAGTTGGAAGTAATGCTCGAGGGAGTTACAGCACCATCATTAGCGTAACCAGTACCCTCAAAACTGGACTCCAGTGGAACCTACATAGTATCAGTCAAGCGAAACAGGTCATCAAATTTGCAAGTACTCCGAAAGCAATTTCCACTCGTGCCCGCTGAGGCTATGACGATACACAAAAGTCAGGAACAAAAATATCATTGTGTTGTCGTTCACACCTCAGCAAGAATGACGCGCGACCTGCTATATGTTGTGCTTTCACGAGTTACTTCACTTTCTGGCTTCTACATCATCCACAGACACATACTATTATTATATATAGTCAACTTGTTCGGTTTCTTCGGATAGAATCCACTATAGAAGGTTTTGTCTATGTAGCAGCAACATTGCTTTCATTATATCACCAACGTGGATATAATAAACATACGATTTTGGGTATATGTTCAACTTTTTTAATTCGATATAGATTACATTTTACTAAATGTCTCTATCCTAACTACATTAACATTAGAAATATCTTTAATAATCTTTCCATTTTTTAGCCCTTCCTTTTTCTTGCTTTCTTATTATTAATTTTACTATTATCTATCTACCCTATCGACATCCTTTATACTTTTTTCTGATCCCTCCCACAGTCCCACTATCCCACTACCCTTTTATCTTCTTTTGTGTTATGTTCGTGATGCTCCCGATCTTCAGCCGACCAACTTTTTCATCTTTTAATATATGTTATGGTATTTTTCTTACTTTTTAATTAGATTTTTCCGACTCTCGTGTCTCTACTAGCGGTTTTAAGGTTCCACCTTTATTTTATTTATTTTACAGGTCCTACATCGGTTCAATATCCATAATGGTGGAGGTTTGTTTTCCTAAATGCACTTTTACCGTTTGCTCTAACTTTTTTACATTATCAAAATTCCCTTTTTCTTTTTGACACTTTGCATGTTAACTTTGCTGCAACCGTCACACTGACGAGGTCCAGTTGCAGCACTGAACAGGAACGTATGCGACTTAAAGGACCGAAACATTCCTATT